ATTCAAAACAAACTCGTTCAGTTGGTCAAAATCAGGAAACCAAAAACCTTGATAAAGTCCGCAAAAAAGCAAAAGTCGTTCAAATATTTTAAATTATATTTATCTTTCAGTTTTTCTTGATTTAGTCTTCACTTTACATCAATATTATATCCTAACATTTATTTTTGTATATAATTCTTGATATCACATGCATCAATTCTTCAATTAACAATAAAAGAAATATATGATCTAGGCTTCGATCTATCTATAGTAAGACGTCATGGTCTTTTATTTCTATATTAATTTTAATCTTGATTAATAACAATAATAATAATAATAATAATAATAATAATAATAAAAACGTTGTTATTATTGATTTATAATTTTTAATATACTAGTGCTTGTATAACAAAACTGAATCCAACCTCTTTGATAATGCAAACCCAATATTTTTTCTACTTCTGGTATCTTAGCAACCATCTTCCAAAGCCTTTTCTTTCTTCTTATTCCAATGACTTCGAATTTTTTCCGGTTTCTTTAGGTCAAGAACTCGTACCGGTAAGTTTCCTGGATTTTCTTACGGATCTTTGTCTTACACTGTAAAGAAGATGGAGTTTCGAAGGAGAAAAGGCAAAAAGAGAAATGAAAGGGATATCGAACGCGCACTGGGCAGCAGTCAGCAGAGGCACCTTCCTGTCAAGAGCAGGGAGTTGGCCACACACATCACAATTGAGTTGATTCATGTTTTGTAATGAATTCTCAAGTCAAGCATCTATTTTTTAAAAGTAAATAAGGACATTTTACATACAATAAAAAGTAATTACGTTGAACCTTGATCATTATACGTATAATTTAATCATTTTATTTCTATTTTTTTAAAGAAATTATGATTTATGATAACATTTTATGTCCTCACTAACATATAAAAAAAATCAATAAAAAATATCTAATTATATACAAAAATTATTATTATTTTCAAATTAATAACTATAAAAGCTAGCTCTTATATTAAATATTATAAATTCTCTTTGATTTTTTTTTAGAAAAACCTAGCCACCACACTATTAACTGAATCTAATTAACGAAAAACAAAAGGAAATTCATAGTAAATTGAGTTTAGAATCTCAAATTTTAATATTTTTATAACAAACAGGCCAACTTTGATTTTCTTCTATCACAAACATCAATTCTTCTCGCAATGCTTGTATACCATCTCAAACCTATGATTAAGGGATTTGAGTTTAAGAATGTGGTACTTCTTTAAATAATTTATTTGGAAATATATTAAAATAATTTTTTATTATTTTTAAAAATTATTTTTGATATAAACATATTAAAACAATTTAATTTTTTAAAAAATCAAAATTTCAAACGGGTTATGAACTGCTTTCTATAAAGATATCAAAGGACCTAATCTTACCACATCTCAAGAGATTAGAGAAGCAAATAGTTAAAATACTGTTAGTATTGTTATATTGTTAAGAAAGTCTGTTAACATTAAGGTGAGAGATTTGTTCATGGTTGTAGCTTAATATAAAGAATGGTAACATTGTCAAAGAAAGATTAACAAAAAGAGTACGATTGATTCTTCTTCCTCACCTGTCATTCTCCTCTGTTTCCCTCCACTTCCCTGCTTAGTTCTCTGCTTATTGTTGTGTAAATCTGCCATCTTTACATGGTATTAGAGCCTACATCAAACCGACTAGGACACTTTCTTGAACCGTCAACAAATTCTAAAATACCATGATTTTCAAAAAGAATTTACATCTAAAAGTATCATATGAGACAATTTGTGTAATCAAGTTTAACTATTACAACAGTAGAAACCATAGGAAGCAAATAAGCATTAAGACAAGTAGAAACCATAGAAACCATAGGACAGGTGTATAACCAATGAAGTGACTATGATGAGTATAGAGACAAATACAGGATTGACTTTCATGGATATTGCCCCCATGCTAAAGATCAATAAGTTAGAAGACGTTTGCCTTGAACACTAAGTGGGTGACTTATGGAGCATTAAGACATAACTACTAGGAATTGTAATACTGAGAGTATCAAGACATATATAGATCAACTTGTAATGGGTTGCCCTCATAGGTAAAGATGGAGAGTTACCTGGACTCTTAAGACTAAGAGCGAGAGACTCACGGAGAAGTAAGACGTGGTTTCTAGTTTGGAACAAAGGGCAGATGCAACTTCTGGATGAGTAGATTCTTTGAAGAGTGGTGAGCTCGTGATTACACTGAGATACTTAGATAATAACTATCGTACTTGGGAATAGAAAATTCCGTTTGAGGGGGTGTTGTAAGCCTTGATGTAAGGCTTGATAAATCATTTTGGACCGAACATGGTTGATACGCTCAAAGGGGAATATTGTGTCCCAGAGACAAGCGTTAATACTATTCAGATGTGAAGTGACAGACCATGTGGTTATAATGATCATTTGGTGTGAGAAAGGGTGTGCTTTAGTAACTCTAGTGATTGAAAGGTGTGGCAAGTACCTGTAAACTTGGTTGGAGATGCTCTTAGAATGGTAAGTTTGAAAAAGCTGCAGGATGCAAGCTTGTGCTGAAAAAAGCAAGCGGACAATTGCCTCACATGAATGACAAAGGGAGTGATTGTTGAGTTGGTTGCTATTAATATGCAGCAACCATTAATAGACAGCACCATCCATTGACAATTGCAGCAGTTGGAGTTGAAGTTGCACTAACCATGTGCACCCATCCAGATGTCAAAAGTTGGCAGCCACCATTGTTGAAGAAGAGCTGGAGCTGGTGGCACCATTCTTGCCTATAAATAGGCACCGAAAGAGATAGTAGAGTTTGAGAGTAAACAACAAAGTAGTAGAGAACAAGAGAGAAAGAGAGGGTTGCCAAGGGCAGCAGCCTTGCTGTTATTATAGCAACTGTAAGTGCAACAATGAGAGCTGAGAGTTGAGTTTGAGTGAAGTGATCCTCCTACTCCATGTATTTGTATTGTATTCTTTTTTTTCTTTAATAACATGGATCTCTCCCATAGATATGGGTAATTTGACGAACCACATTAAATATTGTGTATCAATATGCTAAATTTTCAATAGATAACTATTATAACACTACCAGTCCATGCATAGAGGAGCCGGAATCCCCAACAAATAATGTGTTCCTTTACCATCTCTTGGGCAGTTAGAAACTCTAGAAAGGCTATTGATTGAAGACTTCTGTAATTTAGAGCCTGTTGGTCATGAGTTCTATGGAAGTCCCACGACCGAAGGAAACCCATCCCAATCCCTTGAAAGCCTAACTTTTGAGAGGATGTTGCAATGGCGTGAATGGAAAGCTAAAGGCAGAGCTTTCCCAAACCTTAAGTGCTTTACATCAGAAAGTGTCCGTGCTTAACAACACTGCCCAACGATCTTCCTTCTTTAGTGGAGCTTGAGATTGCAAAATGTAAGCTTATGGGTCCACCTTCTGGATGGTCTCCGGCACGCATTAATAAAATAATGTTGGCTAATGATTTTCATAAGTTGCAGTTAGAGAAATTGTCTTCTGACTCGCAAAGTCTCACAGTCGATTCATTCCATGCCATCATCAATTTTATATGTCAGGAAATTGAAGAGTGGGGTTATGCTTGCACTACTTTACAAAAAAATTGGCATTATTTGTTATCCCTGGGTGATTGTTCCTTTTCTTCTTAAAAGAATGTTTTCCTTTTCCATGGATTTCTCTTTACCTTGCTTATATTGAGATTCACTTTGATGCTTACGCCGTGACGCTTCTTTCTTTTTGTACCTTGTGATCTAGAAACAACCATGAATATATTAATTAGGTTTGTTGGCTTAAGTAGATCATATTAAGCTCGGCCACAATATTCTTGGTAGCAATAGTCATTTCTTATTTTTTTCACATAAAAAATTATTTTATTAGTCACATGTTCACATTTAATTGATGGCTAAAACATATATACATACATACATATATATATCCTTAATATCAATTAATTATGCCAACAATGATTTGACATCATATTTAAAATCAAAAATCGAAAGCTCACTATTTTCATAATCATATTATTATTATCATAATTAATTGCGTAAGGATCATCTATTTAAAATAACATATATTTTAAGCATTCAATAAATTCACAATTCTAGTAGGTTAAACATGGAATTACACTGTTTGGAAAACATGTATACATATATATAAACATATGTGAATAATAAATTTGTAGTCATAACATATATAAATTAATTTATCATAACTAATCAGTGCACATATCATTAATATAGAATTGCACATGGAAATAAAATGCACAACAATTAGTCCACATCATTAATATAAATCACCAATGCAGAATTATACCCTTTGTTTCTAAATATATTATTAATGTATACATCCATTACACAACTAAATGCCTTCTTAAGGTCTTAGGTTTGATTATTATTTATATTGTATGCACGACAAAACTTGAGCAACAGCCCAGTGGTGAATGAGGCCATCACATTTTTACTTTTTAAGTTTCAGACAATCTCACCAAGTGGGTGTTCAACGTTCAATTTCTAACTGGCACATTATTTTTCTTTCTAGTTTGTTTCAACAAGACAGACAGAGTAGCAAAGAATTGCACAACAATAAATACACATAAGCAATAATATATATATATATATATATATATATATGACAATATATATAATGTCTGCACATAATTTAACAATTAATACTATTGTTTTTACGTTTTAAAAATTAAAAAATAATTACTATCACATCACATTACTCAATAAGCCTACTTTATTTAACAATTCTTCTTAAAATTAAAATAGATTTTTTTTTTGAGAATCCATTCTCCTCTATTTTGTTCTATATTTTTTTTCTTTTCAATATTTTTTCTTACTGTTTATTATTGTAAAACACATATTTATTTATAAGAACGAAGAGTTATGATATTTGAATTTTATTATTAGCATGTAACTCTGTATCCTCTTTTTTTTTTTTTTTTACTTTAGTTATGTTTTTTCCCTCGTGTTGGCTACTTTGATGAACATGCAAACAAAGAAGGAAGATCACAGGATGTCTTGCAATCACTGCTCACTGTACTTTGATGGTAATTAACAAGGAAAGAAATCAAGAGCTAATAAGAAATTAGATCCATGGAAAACTGACGTAGATCTTCAAGCTAAACCAGTTAGATTCTTCCCGGAAACCCATGCAGCTGCTCAAGCTGCTGCTCAGACAAGTTGTCGCGGTCCTGGATCCAATGGATCCGCTGCTGGAGCTGCTGCTGGAGCTGCTGCTGGAGCTGCTGGGGCAACTGGGGCTCTCGCCTCCGCTGCTCGAGCAGCTGGGGCAGCCACTCGAACAGCTGGGGCAGCCACTGGAGCAGCCGGGGCTGCAGCCGCCACGGCAACTCGAGCAGCTGGATCCGCTGCTGCTGCTGGAACTGGAGCTCGAGCTGGAGCTCAAGCTGGAGCCGGAGCTGCCGCTGGATCCGCTGGATCTGCAGCTGGATCCGCTGGATCTGCTGCTGCTGCGTTGCTGGAGCTCCCATGCCGCTAAGAGTGAGAAGGAGAAGTCAGAAGTGTTGTGTGTGTATATATATATAGCTTGGCATAATGGGAACTTTTTCAAACTTTAAAATTATTAATCCCTCCAAACCCAAATGAATATAAATAATTTATATCCATATTTAGATTTGGTAAAGCAGGTATCTTTGGTTCAGGTAAAATTGTCATAAACAAATAGATTAGATAAAAAGGACTATTAATGCTTTTTGGTTGAACTAAACATTCTTTTTCCCATCCCCACCGCATAGTCAAACTATGCATGGAACCGATGTTATAAAGAGCACAGATTTATTACCTTCTCGATCCAGTTAAAATCTCAACTTCCCTGAGAATATTCATCCACCTTGGCACCTTCTCCTCGTTTTCCCTGAAATTTTCGACGTTCTTATCAAAGACAATTGTGTAACTCTCGGTTTGATCATCTATCATTGATTGTTTGACATCATAAGAAACTGGAAACACAGTGTCCGATCTCATCTCATCCACGAATCCGACAATCCTGACAAGTTCTTCAAAGCACCAAGGTAAATAAGCACAATCCCTGGCAAATATAATAATTGACAGCTCTGATTCTTCAATGGCCTCAAAGAGTCTTGATCTAATTGCCATTACTTTCTCTGGTTCCATCTCGAATGGGATAATGAATCTCTGGGCTAGATCTGACTTTAAATAGGTGAAAGCATCACCAGTGTCTGAGACTCTGATGCCAGGGAAAACATTGGCTTTCCATTGATGGTAAGATGAAGAAGAAGCTAAAGAAGCTTTATATAAAGAAGCTGCTTTTTTGCTTGTAACAATAAAATGGACAGATGGTTGTGAGGTAATATATACAGAAGTTAGCAAACAGACACCACAATTCTTCACCTTTACTCCTGGCTCGTAAGAATGAAATGACAACTCAATGTTGCTAAAGGATGCATGCTTCCATTCTTTAAGCTCTTTAAGGTAATAAAAAGATAGATAGAATAGCCAAAGATGATCTGACAGAAGTTGGATAGAGTTACAACTAATACACATCGGCAAAGGATAATTCTCTCTTCCATTGGCTTTGAATTGACAAAAAAGAGGACTTTCACCATTTGCACTGAATGCAACACACGCAACAAACCCCATGCTCCAACTAGGCACTTGCACACTAATTGAAGATCCCTCACTTTGATGGTTAAACCAGCCTGGAATTTCATTTCCTGGAACAGCGATACTAAATCCAGGTCTTGGATTAGACAAACCCTGTACCATGAAAAACCAAAATGATAGATAGATAGAGGGAGAGGGAGATAAAAAAAAAGTTGGGGTTTGATTAAGAGAAGACCTTGAGGTATCTTTCAAGTAAGGCCAACCCCATGTTGTCTCGACCATTATGATTGTACAATTCCCAGCAGTTAAGACATATGAACTCTGAGCTTTTGGAACTGCTTAGCTTTATCGGATCTGGAATTGTTTTTAGTCTTATACAACCATTCAAATATACAGCTTGAACTTTAGACGGAACCTCAGGCAATGATTCAAGCATCGTGCAATCCTCCAAGACAAGCGTTTCCAGTTCATAAAGCAGATTTATGCTTCTAGGCAGCCTAACAAAGTTATTCCGGCTCACATCTAAAGACCTCAATGAAGATAAGCAGCCAATATCTTCAGGAAGTGCCCCTTCTCTTAGATTGCAAGCGCGTAAACCCAGTACTTCTAAAGAACACAGACCAGACAAAGAAGGCAGCACAGCTAGTCTTTTGAATCCATCCAACGATAATACTTTAAGATTCTTTAAAAGAAAAATGGATGCTGGCAGGTGTCTTATTGAAGTTCCACTTACGTCAAACTCCTCCAAACTTTCAACTTCCCCCAAATTCTCTGGTATATATTTAAATTCAGAGCAGCCAGAGAGATCGAGTTTTTTAAGGGATTTCAAACAAGGTATGCTACTCGGAATGCTTTCAAGGTTCTTGCAATTGTTCATGCTCAATATTTCTAAGCCAATCAAATGAAGAATTGATGAAGATAGTTTTGTAATACCAGTCTCATCCAAACGAAGCACCATCAA